CTCACCGCCCCGCCGAGATGGTGCGGGAGGATGACAAGGGCATCCCGGTGCGCGTAGCGCTGCGCTGCCGGCCCCTGGTGCCCAAGGAGACCAGCGAAGGGTGCCAGTCCTGCCTGTCCTTCGTGCCCGGCGAACCGCAGGTAGGGCAGCCCGGCCTCCCCCGGGCCCAACCCCGCTCAGCGCGGTCCGTTCTGTCTCCTCCGCAGGTGGTGGTGGGCAACGACAAGGCGTTTACCTACGACTACGTGTTCGACCCCTCCGTGGAGCAGGAGGAGGTTTTCAACACGGCCGTGGCCCCCCTCATCCGAGGCATCTTCAAAGGTTCGTGCTCGCGGAGCTCAAGGTCTCGGTTCAAACGCCTGGGGGTTTGGGTGGGCTCCATCTCCCCTCCCTGACCCGCTTTTCCTTTGAGCCTCTTGGAAAATTGAGCCCTGGGCTGACTCTTGATGCAGTGAGGAGCAACAAATCTTCCCTCTTTACAACCTGTTGTACTCAACATGACCACTGTGGTTTTTTTTGGGTCGTTTTGGTCCCTGAAAGCTTTTATTCAAGGCAAGAGGATTTTACCAAGGATAACGTGATGACTTTATTAGCATCTCATCCCCAAACCTGTTAGTGATGCTGCAGCAGGGTTGGGATGGCAGACAGCCCACACTGTTTGTGTCCATCTCTGAAACAGCAGCAGTGCAGCCTTAAGAAAGGGCTGGAATCACGATTTTATCTGTGTTTTAGGGAGCTTTTTGTCGACGTTTTCCCTCCTGCTGTGCACAGAGCTTGTGGGAGCTGCCAGCGAGGGGCGGGGCTTTGCCAGGAGGATGGTTTTGCTGTGCTGCAGCTTTGTTCCTCAGAGCTTCTGCTGCTTCTCCCGTGGCTGCCTGATCCAGGAGCCCTTTGTTCCCCCAGGGTACAATGCCACCGTCCTAGCCTACGGGCAGACAGGATCTGGGAAGACCTACTCCATGGGAGGCACCTACACTGCCACTCAGGAGCACGAGCCTCATGTGGGGGTCATCCCCCGGGTCATCAAGCTGCTCTTCAAGGAGAAGGAGCAAAGGCAGGACTGGGAATTCCTCCTCAAAGTTTCTTATCTAGAGGTAAGAAGAGCTGGTTTGATTCTCAAGCTGTGAACTGCACACCAAGAGAGCTGGACTGAGGCCACTTCCTTCCAGGAGCAAGTGTTGCCTCAACCAAAACTCAAAGCTGTGAGAGGTCTTGTCAGGGGCTGGGTTCTGACTCCTGGCTGTCAGTCCCTGAGGGCAGAAGGAGAACGTTGTGTGGAGCTGGCTGTGACTTCAGTGTCACCCTGTGTCACTCTGGGGGTGAATCTTTGTCTCGTGAGGCTGCTCACTCACTCTGAACCTCTGCTCTGACCCTTCCAGATCTACAACGAGGACATTCTGGACCTGCTGTGCCCCTCCAGAGAGAGATCTGCCCAGATCAGCATAAGGGAGGATCCAAAAGAAGGCATAAAGGTCTGATCCCTCACTGTATGTGGGTACAGAAGAGGGTGACAAGCCTTGAAATGAGTTTTTTTTTTTGGGGAAACAGCCATCTGCCTCCACCACTGCTTTAAATAAATTGAACTACTGATGATCTTCAAGCTTACTCAAAGGGTAACACCTTTGAGGTAAAAAAGTTACCTAATAGGGTTAAACATTCATGACAAAGCCACTTGCAGGTCCTATTCTGACTTGTTTTTAAGTCTGATTTAGGGAAGTGCTGTCCTGTGGGTCCCTTCACTGAGTTTCAAGCCCTGTTGCACTTGTTTGGCAGAAGCAGGGTGTGACAGAGAGATCCTGGGGGAGAACTAAGTGCTGAAGTTGTTTTTCTTAGCAGTTCCCTGTGCTTATGGTGTGGTGCAGGAAACCCTCGTGCTGCTGTGAACACACAGGATCATTTTTCTGGTGTAAGTCAGGGAAAGGAGAAGGGGATCAATGTTTTTTTCTCCCTGGACACAGATCGTGGGCTTGACAGAAAGACAAGTCTCCTGTGCACAAGACACTGTGGCCTGCCTGGAGCAAGGGAACAACTCCAGAACAGTGGCCTCCACAGCCATGAACTCCCAGTCCTCACGGTCCCATGCCATCTTCACCATCTGCATTGAGCAGAAGAAGAAAAATGACAAGTGAGTGTGGTCCTCAGCCAATTCTAACAGCTCCTAGGGGCCAGAGTTGCTCCAAACCTCATTGCCCTGTTGTTCTCTCTTGGTCTTGGGTGAGCTCAGCTGAGATATTCTTGTGGCAGTGCCTCTCTTTGGCTGCCTCTGGTTTTTTTTCAGTGTAGTCACCACTATCTTGCTCCTTTTCTATCCACACCTTTATGTGAGAGAGTAAAACAGTTTCTCTCTGCCCTAGGAACAGCAGTTTTCACTCCAAGCTACACCTGGTGGATCTTGCTGGCTCTGAGAGACAGAAGAAGACCAAG